CAAAAGACTGGGTCACGTAGGTCTTTTTAGGCTCCCTGCCTGAGGACCTCAGGACGATCGCAACCAATGGTTAAAGGCAGTTATGTGGCTGGGTGGCGTTCGTGCACCTTTGCAACCTTAAACCACTGAAATTCTTCATTTACCGGTCGACTCTACCTTCAACCATCCTATCTTTCTCCTATTCATGCAAATGGGCATCCAATAGACAGCAACGAAAACCGGTGCACTAATGTGCGTGGTCGATGGCTGTACAAACTGAAAATAGAGCATAATCCTTTCGGGAATGTGTTATTGATGAGTGCATTGTACTCTAGAATCTCGGGCACCGCAACAACAATAATATCTGAAAAACGATGGGTTGGGATAAAAAAAGTTCAGCGCGCCACCTCATGGGAAAATCACTTTGTTGCGAAAAGGTAGTTCTTTGAGGGTAGTGTATGAAGTGAAGAAGTAGACAGTAAGGTGTTCTTGCCGTTTTGCTCGCAGTCTCTGCCTCGTCGACCTGAAATCGAAAAATAGTTCAACGCTCAATCATTTTCCCTCTCGTCCCTCATAGACGAATCTTAAATATTAGTTATTAGAACGTTGCTTCCAGAACTCGTTAGGCAGCGCATGGGACTACACGCAAAAGTCCGTTCGGTAGAACCACAGCAATCCGAGTCTGGTTTGAATGACTGCAGAGCGAATCGGACAACGATTGTCTGATCAAGGACGCACACTAGGTTTTTTATTACACACGTGTGATGCACAGTAGATGGGGAAAGCCCCATCATCACGAGGACCTGCTGTTCAGTGAGTTAGAGCGGTAGCCTAATCCCCGGGACTTGGAGTGGCGAACCACATAAGACCCCGAAAGGTTAGGTGTGATATTGGAGAGGAGGAAAGCAAAGCTGCCTACCAACAAAGTTGAGTGACGGGGCTCGAATCTCGGACCACAGGGTTCAAAGCACGCCCGTAACAGCGACTGAACCACTGCGCCGCCACCACCCGTTCTCGTTTGTTTAATTCGCACTTTCTATGCGCCTGTCGTACGATCATCAATCATTACACTAGGGCTGTCGATCTTCACGTCTATTTTTGGAAGCTATGTAGGAAGTGCTCGTTTTGATCGCACATCTATGTCGGATGTAACACGTTTTCTGCTGAGTACACCACTTACATAAGGCCTCTATTGGGTACGTAAGCAGCACATTGCACAACCAATACAGGCTCAGGTTTTCGGACCATCAGTAAAGGAATACACAACCCCGAACCGGACCCCACGTTCCGACATGCTTTTCTCATTATGTGTAAAATACTGCAGACAGCAACGACGAACTCGACGATACAACAATATCGGAGCCTCGTTTTAGTCGAATGAGTTTGTTGTAGAAATCGTCCTTTTGTAATATCAGAACTACGGTTAGTCGGTGCATATGCCGTTGTGATGAACAGACGCGTTTTGGTATTGCTTTCTTTCGGGATTCTGACCTTTCCGTTTCAGTTTTTGCAACCATTAGCCATGTACCTTCGTGCGCCGGTTTTGGTGCTCCATTTGGATAAAAGACCTCTAGTGATGCATCGTGCATAAGCGGCTGACGTGGATCCAGTCCAAAAGTAAGGCTACGACACAGTTAGTCGGTACGATACCCCACGCTGACTTATGGAACGGGCTGTCATCACCTGATGTGCGAATGACGTACATCAAAGAAATCTGGCGCGCTCAAATGACTTATTATTGTAGGATCTTGAGTTCGAATCTCCCATATGTAGCTAACATCGATTCATAAAGATTTCATTGTACGCGTGTTAAATTAGTCATAGTGCCATTTGGCAACAGGGCACTAAGTTGCTCGAGGGACTGTTACATCTGAAGTCAAGCACCCAACATCACTCCAGAAGAGGAAGTAATAGAGCAGGTGGATAAGTTTTGTTATTTAGGCAGCTACATCTCACCCGGTGGACGCATCACGGATGAAATGTCAGCTCGCATACAGAAGACTCGGTTGGCATTTGCCAACTTAAAACATCCGTGGCACAGACGCGACATCCGGCTCTCTGTGAAGGGTCGAGCGTATGCTGCGGCTGTTCGGCCAGTTCTGCTTCACGGTGCAGTAACTTGTTCGTTAAGAAAACAGGGGGGATAGACTGTCGGTGTTTATCTAGGCAGCATTGCACGAATCTGGTGGGGC